GATTTATTTTGTTCCTATAGGTTTTAAATTTATTGTAAAAGTGCAGTGATCTTGTTTTAATATATTTTTTATAATAATTGTTCTTAAGTTTTATAGACATTCTAATCCCTGAAGTTATCCAAGGTTTATCAAAGTGTTTAAGTTCTTTTTTGCTCAGATGTCGCAGAGGAATATGTTTATCTACAATGCTAGACAGTTTGGAGTGAAAAATATCGAACACTTCTGTTGGATTGCTATCATTGGATGTTTCCATGTTCCAATCAGTAGACTGAATTTCTTCAAGTAATAGAGCTTCATTATATTTGGAATAATCCCTACGAGAGAGTTTAAAGTTCTTAGGTAGTGCTGAAAACTTATTTATAACTAGAAAATTCGGAAGATGATCAGTTAAATCATATATTATGTTACCACTAACAGTATGATGATTAACTGAGTTGAAAAATATGTTGTCAATTAGAGTAGCTGAGTGATCAGTTATTCGTGTTGGTTGTAGTATGTGAGGATGAAAAAAATAAGATCCCATTGAATTTACAAACTCGTCGGTACCTGCGTGAGATTCAAAATTTAAAAGATTTAGATTAAAATCTCCCATGATTATACAATATTTGTTTTCTCTACTAATTATATTTAGAGCATTATTCAAGAACACCATAAATGCTTCGAGATCACTTTGGGGATGTCTGTAAATTACCCCACAAATAAGATTATGATGTAGATTACTCTTTATCTCAATCCATAATGATTCGAATTGAATTGACGAACAAGACAGGTCTGATCTTGTTGAATAACTCAAACTATCATTAATAAAAAACCCAGTGCCACCTGCATTTGATAAACTAGGTTGAGAAACAAATGTGTATCCAGGTAAGTATTGATTAGATATTGCCTCTCTAGAAGTATTAAGTTTGGTCTCAGTAAGACCAATTATAGAAAAACAGTGATTTAGCTCGTTAAGCATATGTACAAAGCCATCAAAATTAGCAGCAAGGCTTCTTATATTAGAATGAAGAGCAGAAAAACTTCCACTGGAAATGCAGCTTTGGATCTGATTGCTATGGAGAAAGTCCTCGGTAGTATAGTACTTAAAATTAGTTTGTAAAGGCAAATTTACATCTGGATCAATATAAGATAAATTGTTATTTGAATTCAAGCTATAGAAATTATCTGACTCTAGCAAAGGTAAAGAATTTAACTTAGCAGCCATGACATTAAATGACTATATCTATTAAAGTTTTAAATATACAATAAATTAAGTACTTATCCAGCCATTGGAATGTCTCTGATGTGTGTGATACCAATTGAAGGGCTAGACTCATCTTTGCGTAAAAAAATCTTTCCATTTACTGTCCAGATAAACTTATAATGTTGCTGTTTCTTGAATTCGAGGCACTTGTTAAATAATTTCTTGTTTGCCTGGGTTAGGCTTTCTGCTATATAAATTTTACGTTCAGCAGTTCTGAGAATACCAATATCTCGTGTTGTAATTTGACGGAGATTCTTCCTTGCCTTGTACAGTTGATCTCGAATATCACGCCGAATAAATTTGGCGATAATGGCGGGTTCCGTGTTTCGACTATTATTTCGATTAGCAGGCAGACGATGACTTATGGATATGTCGTTAGATTCAATTGCAACACCAATTACTTCACCAACTTTCCGAACAATTTCATTGGTCTTTTCTCCGGGTAACACCGGTATACCTCGGATTTCAAGGCATTCTCTCCTAGAGTACTGTTCTAGGTTATTCAGATCTTGTTTCATCAACTCAATGTTGTTGGTAGAACTAAGGAGAGATTCTTTAAGGAATTTATTTTCTTTAGCTAATTCGTTGTTTTCACTTCCGTTTCATCAGAAAGACATGGCAAAAACTTGGCTAGGTAGGTTACCATACCCAGGAACCTTCGTAGAGACTGCACATCTGTAGGATGAGGCATGTCGTTGATGGCTTCTACTTTCTTTGGATCAGGCTTATGGATGGCTTCCTTAACTGAGCTTTTTCTTTCTTGAGCTTCAGGTTCTTCTCCCGACAGCGCTCCAGAAAAGCACGGACATTGCGGTCATGGTCAGCATTCCACTCCTCTGGGGTACTTCCAAACCCAACCACAACAAAATCATCTGCTATCACTTCCACCCCATGTAACCCTTCAACATGTTCGTGCATTTTTCGCTGCCATACTTCTGGTGCGCTGCTTATACCAAAGGCATACGTTTCCAACAATACCGCCCGAATGGAGTGTTGAAAGTAGTGAATCGGCTGGACGCTGGATCGAGTTCTACTTGCCAAAATCCATTACTGGCGTCAAACACACTGAAAATTTTCGCCCGATTTAATCGCGTAGCAACTTCTTCAATAGTAGGCATTGGGAAATGTTCACGTTTTATTGCACCATTTAGATCTTTTGGATCAAGACAAATGCGAATATCAACTTTTCCGTCTGGCCCCAACGTCGGTTTTCGGACAGCGAGCATGCTGGAGACCCAATCAGTGGGTTGATCAACTTTTGCAATAATGTCATCCTTTACCATGTTGTCAAGCTTTTCTTGGACTTGATCGATTAATGCTACTGGCAAACGGTGAGGCGGATGTACCACAGGCTTCACTGATGGATCTGTGACAATCGTGTATTGTCCTTCGAGCTTTCCAAGACCTTCAAAGACATCATTAAACTCTTGTAACAAAGGGTCGCATCCTGCTGTTACTACACTTACTCGGGGTTTTTGGTCGGAATCAAGGATCTTTATCATGCCCATGTCAATCAAGGTCTGCTTGCATAGGATTGGCTCGTACCCTTGTCCTTTTACTACATTCACAACAAGTTTGTGGGTCTGAGTACCTCGACTTACTCTCACCATGGCCCGACCTTCAATAGGCTGTTCAAATCCATTGGCTAAAACGAGCACTGAACGTTTGTTCTTATCTAATTTATTTAGTTCTTTATCACCTGTCACTTTCTGGTACACATTTAATGGTAGTACATTACATTCTGCCCCAGTGTCCATAAGAAATTGGACATCTCCATTTGGTACATCGTCTACTTCATTTAACATTGTTAAAGTTACAGTTGAACGAACTTCCTTTTCACCCGTTTTGGTGGTGCCCAAATAAAATCGATCTTTACTTTTAGCTTGGCACTTAACTGCGAAATGATTTTTTACTCCACACTTTCTACATGTTTGGCCAAATACTGGACATTTATGCTTCTCATGATCGCGACCACAATATTTGCAATCATTTATTACCGCTTTATCCGATTTTGGTATATCTTCTTTGGACCCGTCATGTTGTTGTGTCTGCCGGACAGCATGTATTCCAGCCTCTAAATTCATCTCCTTCATTTGAGCTGTCATACTCTCAGCAGCTCGCACAATGTCTAGTGCTTTCTCTAAGGTAAGTTTATTGTCTCGAAGTAATCGTTCGCGTACCTTTGCATCCCTAATTCCAGTAACAAGTCGGTCTCGCAATATTTGATCTGGTGTAATCGACTCCAAATCACAGTTTGCAGAAATTCTACGCAGCTCCATCATGTACTGGTCTACGGTTTCTGTGGGCCCTTGATCACGCGTAAACAGTCGAAAACGTTCATATGTCACATTCTGTCTTGGAATACAGTATTCCTCGAACTTCGTTATGACTAGATCAATTTTCTTAGAATCATCTTCTGACTCCCAAACAAATGTCCTAAATACTTTGTTTGCTTCTTTTCCTATTACTGCTAGAAGTGTAGCTACTTGACGTGCCTCGTCTTCTTTATCAAGCTTTGTCGCCAACGTGTAATTGCTCCAAGCGGACTTCCATTCGCGCCAGTTCGAAGCCGTTGAACCATCATTTAAATTAAGCACGTCCGGAGGAGGTATCTGAAAATACGCCATTCTCGTTGAGTTTTCGCTTGTTTCTTCGTCGTTTCCGGCCGTATCAACGCTAACGTCCATCCACATAGACTAGTTTTACTCCTGACACCATGTTACGTTTTTAATAGACGGTAAATGAACAGTGAAACATACATAAAAAGCTAAGAATATAAAGTTATAAAATTCTGACTGTCCGCCATCTTGTTCTATCCCCATTTCCTGGCTGTGTGTCACAGGGAACCCAAAACGGTACCCTACTATCGTTACATATGCCATCTGCATTTTTCAATGAAAAAAGTAAAAGTGTACAGTATCAGGTAAAGAACATTCACGGTTTGCCAGTAGTTCGAACAAAACGAACGTACGGTGGCCCACAAGCGACACAGCCTCACACAATAAAACATATACACACTTTTTACAGAAGTTATGTTGCTTCATTGAAATATGTATGCTCTATAGAAACACGCATGCTCGATGGAAATATAACTGGCTCCGTAGAAGTATGAGTGACTCCGTAGAAGTATGAGTGGCTCTGTAGAAATTTGAGTGGCTCTGTAGAAATTTGAGTGGCTCCGTAGAAATATGAGTGGCTCCGTAGAAATATGAGTGGCTCCGTAGAAATATGATTGGCTCCGTAGAAATATAACTGACTCCGTAGAAATATGAGTGACTCCGTAGAAATATGAGTGACTCTGTAGAAATATAACTTACTCCGTAGAAATATGAGTGACTCCGTAGAAATATAACTGACTCCGTAGAAATATGAGTGACTCTGTAGAAATTTGAGTGACTCTGTAGAAATTTGAGTGGCTCCATAGAAATATGAGTGGCTCCGTAGAAAATTATTTTTGTTGAATAATTAACCCGCAGAAAGCTAGGAAGTTTAGCCTGCGACTGGGCTGTATTCAAAATGGCGCAATTTTGTCAACATTGTGGGACAAGATTAAATGACTATGCTATTATATGCCATTAAAAGTTTAATTAATGTTTAAAATCGTCCCGGGGTGGGGCATTTTCCACTCTCAGCTTGCCCAAGGGTTGTGCATTAGTCTTCAAGTTGTGTCCCTGCACCCGGGAATTTACAGTATCGTAACCAATCAAATCAAACGCCCGGGTGTGTTCCGAGGAGGGGGGGATGGTTACTCCTCGAATTGACTCGTGCATAACCTTTCCAATCCCCTGGCATTGCACAAATCCATGCACGTACTGGCCCTCTAGAATTGCATGCTATCCCCTCTGGAAATATTGCATGATATCTCTCATGAAGATTCAACAAAAATTTAAGTTTTTCTAAGACCCTCCCAATGGAAGTTCCAAAAGGATTTTGATTGGAATAGCCCATTTATGCAGTGGCTATGCACTAAAACTTTCAGAATATCATTATTGTAAAGTAAATTAATCATATTTCTGTCATTTTCTACAAGGTAATACTAGTTTTCCCACCCATGGGAAAGCAAAATATGTCAAATCCACTGGTATGTCTGGTCCCCCTGCACTGGGGATAAACATTAACAAGTGCATTATAAGGCTACTTTGCAGGGGTAGCAAATCTTCGAGTTAAGCCCCTTGAGTTATATATATCTATATATATATCTCGTTTATTTCGCTTCTTGTAATTACAGGATTAAATTGTAAGCGATTTACAAGTTTATATTAACAATAAAATATTTACAAAGCAATAAAATTATATAAATATACTATATAAGAAACAGATATTATAAAATAGAAATTTTTGTTACTATTTATATCTATATGTTAAAAATTTTTTACATCTATCAGTCCGGATCTTTCTTACACCTATTTGGTTCTGATTTCCTGATCTTAGGTTATAACCGTGTGTATTCGTATAGTATGTTTTTGTTAAATGATGTAGAGTATGGGACGGATCTTTAAGTTTATTTATATACTTCTTACATAAGTCTTCTCTCCTGTCTTGAAGACTTTCCAATTTAGAGATCTTTAATGCTTCGCCATAGTCACTACCAGGATATATAATCCAGAGAGCTCTTTTCTGTACTCTTTCCAACTTGTCACTTAGATACTGTGGGAAGTCAGACAAGGCTTCAACAGCATATTCTAGAATAGGTCGAATCATCGACTTATACACTAGAACAAGTTCCCTTTCCTGCAATCCAGCCTTCTTTAGTACTCTTAATGCATACAACCTTTTACACGCCTTTTTTGTTTTGTCGTCAACCTGCGTATTCCATTTAAGATTACTTCCGAGCATAACACCTAACAATTTGTACGCATCAACGGATTCTTATTTGGGTACCGTTAACGACTAAATCCCTACTTAATATATTCGGGTTTGTCATAAAATTTACAAACATCTCCTTGCATTTCTTGGGGTTCAACTTCATTTTATGGTCCATGCAATACTGTTGAATTTCTCTTGCTACCAAATCCATCACACTTATTGAGTTCCGCGGGATTGTTTCTACTACGACTAAATCGTCAACAAACTTTGCTCTTCCTGGCCAATTTTTAACTAAGTCGTTAACCATTATTACAAATAATAACGGGCCTAACTTTGTGCCTTTCGGTATTCCTCCTTTAGGATATTTCCACTCAGAAAGGACTCCATCTACCCTTACTCGTTGTTTACGGTTTGTTAGAAAGGCTGCAATCCACCGTATTAGGACATCGCTTACTCCGAGTTTTGCAAGTTTGGCGAGCAGAATGTTATGGTCAATTAAGTCGAAGCCTTTTGTAAAGTTAGTAAAGAAAATCCTAACAGCTGTATCTCCATCATCTAATGCAGTATGAATATTGTGTAGAATACTCACTAGGGCGTCCTTAGTTGATTTTCTTTTGTTTGCAAATTGTTTAGTATCGATATGGTGTTCAACTTCGGGCATTAATCTGTCTAAGGTTAGACTTTCAAAAACTTTACTTATCTGACATGTAAGGCTAATGGGTCTAAGATCTTCTTCGATTGTTTTTGGCGGTAGTATCTTGGGAATTGGAACAATAGTTGACGCTTTTAACAAGTCAGGAACATAGGCTTGAGTTAACGTGGTGTTGTAAATATCTGCGAGAACGACGCTAAGCTCTTGGGAAAACTCTTTTAGGATTCTGTTATTAAGCTTATCAGGGCCAACAGCCTTCCTACCGTTTACCGCATTCAGCTTTGTTTGTACTTGGTGGGGTGTGGCTTTTAAATTTGGTGGCACGAATAGTTCCCGGACATCTAGAGGCTGAACTAAAGGCTGGAAATCTCTAGTCAGTTCCGAAAAGAAAGTGTTTATTTCATTCGCTAATTCCAAGGGAGTTGTATGTCCGGTTTGCCCCATTAAGTACTGACTCCATGGAGGGGAGGCTACTTCACAAGTTAACTTCTTAATTGTTTTCCACCATTTACTTATGTTTGATCCGATAAAATCGTTCATCTGATTTGCATAAAAGTCTCTTCTGCATGTTTTCGTTTTCGCCCTAATTTTATTTCGCCATTTCTTATACTCGCTAGAGAGTTTTCCATACTGACAAAAGGCCTTTTGTCTTTTCTTAATCCATTTCTTAATTTGATTTGTTATCCATGGCTTATCGCTTTTGTTCACTTTAGATCTTTTTAAAGGCAGAAACAAATCTATAGCGCTATTCATTTTCTGCATGAAATTATCATATTTACTTTGGCAATCAGACTCGTTTAAGGTATCTTGCCACGACTCTCTTACCAACCAAGAGCCAAAAGCTTTCCAATTGCTTTCTCGAAGATCTCTTCTATACACTTTAGATCCTTGGGTGTTATCAATTTTCCGCCCTAGATGCTGTTTGGGAGTTATCAGTACGGTGTAGTGGTCGCTATTTCCAATTTTGGGCAATTGAATTGGTGTATCATATAATTCCGACTTATTTGTAAAAATCAAATCCAAAATGCCAGAATCCCGTGTACGGAAAGTCACTCGCTGTTTTAAAGAGCATGCACGTGTAACTTCGGCTGGCCGAAATCCAGTAGAAGTAGGGTTAAAGTCACCAGTTATTATAACTAATCCAGAAGGGTGTTTACCAAGAAAAGTATCCACATTTAGTTGGATATGTTCGTACAGTAATGAATTTTGATCTTGATCAGCCCAAGTTGGGTGATAAATACATGCTACAAGGATAGTACTACCAGTTCTAATTGCTCGCACGGGTGTTATTTGAATCCATATACTTTCTATCTCCTTCGCTACTTCATTTTCCTGAAATATTCTCCTCCACGGCATGTCCTCTTTAACATATACACAAACTCCACCGCCGTGATCTCTCACCGTGCTCGTCCTGTCTCTCCTTATTACAAAATACCCTGGTATACTTACATACGAATCTGAAATTTCATCGTCCAGCCACGTCTCAGTCAGACACACAACGCTTACATTGTTTATACGAGAAACAACTCCTACTTCATCGACTTTACTACGCAACGATCTAACATTGGCAAGCAATACCGAAGGCAAGTTAGCTTCCTTCCTCGTTGAGATGACTTTATAGTACTGAGGTCTAACAGGAAGAGCTTTATCTCGATTAAACCCGCCATAAGTTCGATCGGTAATACGAACTGGAATACTTCGATATTTTGATTCTTGAGTGTTTCTCTGTTGATAAAGTTCACATACTTTCTTCTTACCAGCTCGCCTTCCACGTCGCGTTGGCTTTCGAACTTTCCTAGTGCATTTAGATTCTTTCCCGATATGAAACTCCTCAAGTGTCGTTTTAACTTCATACTCAATGTCATATTTAGTCTTAGAGTAAGACAGTAAGACGGATCTGGACCATTTCATGCAACTTTAAACTATCATATATACGATACTAATATTATTAAAACTTGAGAGCGATAAAAGGTGCAGCCACACACGGCGCACACGATTTCATGTCATGTCAATTGGTAGGGATGTGTTCATTCACTGCCGTCATAAATAAATCTTTCCACCGAGACCAGCGGTCATCAATGTTGTCGTAAGAGGTAATTTGGTAAAATGGCGCACGGGATAGGGAGCTTCGAAGGCCGACAAGATCTGCTTGATTATAATTGAAGACTTTGCGTCTCACAGGTTTAGCACGTCTAAACTTTAGTCTAATTTCAAACTCTACGATATAATGATCGGATGGGAAAGTCTGCAGGCAAGATAGTGGTTACGTTGTCAATAACTTCAGCACAGTTACATAGCAATAAATCTAGTTTACCAAGATCTTAAAGCTGTGTACTCTTTCAACGCATTGTCTATTAATAAACATTGTTTGATCACAGGGAATTCGGTATTGAAGGAAATTTATAATAATTTCTTTGCATTTTTGGGGGTTAAGCTCCATTCCACGAGCGGATGAGAAGTTGGAGATTTCTTGAACAACTAAAGGCAATAGACTAGGAGAGCACCTTGGGATTACTTCCAGTGCTGTTGTATCATCGACAAATTTTAGGCGACCATTCCAGTCCTTTAATAATGGGTTAACCAAGATAGCAAATAGAGGAGGGCCCAGACATGTTCCCTGGGGTAAACCTCCGTTGGTGGTTTTCCATGAGGATTCATGGCAATCCACTTTGACACATTGTTGACGGTTGGTCAAGAACGCTTTAATCCAGCGAGTAAGGACAGGGTGGACATTAAGATTTCCAAGTTCGTTTATAATAACGCTATGGTCCACTAAATCAAAGCCCTTCCTGAAATCGGCGAAAAACAATCTGATGGAGTTATGACCACTGTCTAAGGCAGCAAGAATTTGATGGAGAAGGTACACTAGGGCATGGGTAGTTGATTTGTTTGGAAGTGCGAATTGCTTAGGGTCAATTACTTGAGGCATCAACGAGTTAGTTGTGAATCTTTCCATAATTTTGGAAATTTGCGAGGTCAAGGAGATCGGTCGCAAATCTTTCTCAATAGATGTGGGAGAAAGTACTTTAGGAATGGGCCTGACAATAGATAGCCTTAGCTGGGAGGGGACCACGCCTTGTGAGAGGGATGAGTTGTAAACATCAGCAATTACAGGAGCGAGTTCAAAGGCAAAAATTTTAAGGATTTTGGTAGGGATTAATTCGGGGCCAGGGGATTTGTTAGTTTTGATCTTACGTAAGGCTTGATAAACCTGACTGTGTCCACGAGGAAGGAGGCAGGGACATCCAATTGCGTCCCTGTACTGTCGGGCTCAAGTGAGCTGAAGTGGGAAGTCAAACTAGTAAAAACGTGTTTATGGATTCAATAAGGTGTTGACAAGTAGGATTGACGGGGGACAATAGTTGGTGGTGCCACGAGTCACGAGAGGATAGACCACCATTTCAATGAGTTGCCTTGTTTTAATTTACAGACTGATGTAGCGTAGTATTTGGCTCGGGCAGACTTAACGTCCATGATAACTTTATTGCGCCAGTACTTAAACATTCTAGAGGATTTACCGTGTTAATAAAGTGCTTTTTGGCGATTACTTATGGAGCTTTTGAGTGAGGGAGTCATCCATGGCTTGTCAGATCGTCTTACTTTCGTACGTGTAATAGGCAAGAACTTATGCACCATGTTCTCTATAATGTCATGAAATTTTTGGAATTTCAGATCACAGTCATGAACGTGTAGAACGGGTCACCAATCGTAAGAGGAAATCCATTGGCCAAATCTTCGTAAGATACTATATCTGAGGTCTCTTTTCGAAATAGGTCTGTTATCTGGTTTCTGTGGCCTGGGGATACGTGTCTGGATAAGAATGGTGTTATGATCGCTAGTTCCAAGTTGAGTGAGTTGTACCTGTTCAAAGAAGGATTTCTTCGCGTTAGTTAGGCACCAATCCAATATAGCATTGCCTCTTGTCTTAACATTGATTATTTGGGTCAAACCGGCAATTCTTTTAACCATTCTTTCGTCAAAACCCGTGCTTGAAGGGTTGAAATCTCCGGTGATGAGAAGTAAGGCGTCGGGATGGTTACGAAGAAAAGTATCGACATTAGATTGGATGTGATTATATAACTCGACATTTTCGGCGGCGCCGCAGGATGTAGAGTGGTAAATGACAGCTAATAAGATTATAGAAATAGATCGAGGCAGACGGGGTGGCCTGATAGACATCCACAATGATTCAATACCCTGGTCTTCATAGGTACGAAGTCTTTTGCATGAAAATTTACTGTTAACGTAAATGCAAACGCCACCTCCAGAGGATGACAAACGGTCGTTGCGAAAAATTAAATAATTTGCGAGGGAAACTGCTGAATCAGGAATACTGCTATTTAGCCATGTTTCAGTAATACAGATAAAATCGGCTTTGTTGATTTGGGAAACTGCTTCAAGTTCATCGACCTTGGGGAGGATCGAACGGACATTCGAAACTAACTGACAAACGTGGAAGGTCAAACTTATCAGGGTTTACCAATTTGGGACACGGTTGGGTGAGATTATATCACAAACATCTGT